GAAGTCCAGATATTGCAGTCTTCCCTCAATGCGGAGTTCTTTTAGTCTGCTAACCATTCTGATTGTCCTCTAATGTGTGAGGACCAGAGCTAGACAGCGTTTCAGATGTAATCCACTATGACTGTGTTCAAAGGCAGGATGCTATTAGCCCTTAGTCTCCAATGCCCCATAAATAAATAAAATAACCATTCTATACTTTTTATTTTGATCTACTACCACTTCTTTGTTGCTGTTATCTGCCATCAAGTTGCCTCCAACCTATGGTGACCCCATGAATGAGTGACCTCCAAAATGTCCTGTCATTAACATCCCTTCTCAGATCTTGCACACTTAAGGCCATGGCTTCATTGAGGGAGTCAATACATCCCATATTTGGTCGTCTTTTTTTCCTGCTGCCTTGAACTTCTCCAACCATTCCATTCCTTGGGGGTCTTAAAAATAAAATAAATAATTGGCTGTGATCCTCCCAAGTGGGTTGGGCAGATTTACTATTCAGCTCATTAAATAACCCATATGTGAGAATACACTTGAAGTAGGCAAAATTAATAATTAGAACTAGTCTGCTAGTCTTGAACCGGTGACCTCCTTAACAAACAGAGCCGGGGACGCATTGGTCAATTTCCGAGGCGATGTGAGCCAAGAAAGGTTAGTTTCCTCCCAAGGAAACCGTCTCGATCCTCACCCAAAAACCCTTTATTGAGATTTCTTCTCAAGAAGGAGAAGCTAGCGCCTGAGGGGTACACAAAACCAAAAGCAAAAGATCCTAGTCAACTATTTTCTTTCCTCGGTTTCCTCAGAACTCGAACTCATTTAGTGTACTCGGAAACTGGGAAGGGCATTCAGGGAGGTGACGCCAGCGGGCGAAAACACACGCCACGCACATTCTCACGACTTCCCCCTTTTTTGTTTTTTTCAAGAAAAAGAAGAAGTAGCCCTTGTGGGACATTGTGCTTTTATGCCGAAAGGGGAAAAAAAGGGCGACCCTTTTTTGCTTTGCTTCCTGGAAACTGTTAGGGCAGGCGAGACCGCTCTTTCCGCGTCGTTTTTCTTCCCGCTCAAGGGGGGGGGGGGATGAACCACCTTAAAGTGGGAGAAAAGGAAACATCATCCGGAAAAACAGCATTGTTGCTGTTGTTTTTATCGCCCTCACACCCGGTTTCCAGCACCTACGCCCCCGCCGGAGCAAAGTGGGAAATTGCCGGCGCTTTCTCCCCCTTCTTCCAGGCTGCGAAGCTCCAGAGCGTGTGAGTATGGGAGCTTCGGCTGACACGTGTCGACCCCTCCCTCAGAACTTCTCGTGTTTTCCTTTCGTCCCCCTTCCTGGGCTCCCGTCTCCTCTTCGGGACGCTTCAGAGGAAGCTTGACCCTCCCCCCTTTCCAGTCTCTTTCAAGCGCAGCTTCTGTGCTTGGAACGGCTCGTCCTGGCTTTTAACAATCATCCTCACTATCCTCTTCGAACCGCAGAGGTGCAAGGGATCCTGAGGATCATCGAGTCCCGCTCCTGTCAGGGAGGCACAGGGAGGAATTGAACTCTCAACCTCCGGCTCCCCAGCCAGCTAGTGTTTGCTGAATTGCTTTCCAATTGAGTAATGTGTCGCGGTTTTTAATTTTAATTCTTGTGAGCTGCCTGGAGAGTGCCGTTATGGCAGAAAGGGCAACATAGAAATGATATAAAATAAATAAATAGTCTTTAAAAACCGTGAAGTCAGGGTTTGACAGGAAGCATTTGCCATCCGTCAGGGCAGAGACATGATAGGGAAAGTTTCAAGCTGCACCAGTTAGATTTCTACCTGTTGGGCTGTGAAATCCTTTTGCTGCGCAAAAGTCAGACAAGGAACAACTAGTTTGCCTCAACTGTTTAGCTTACTTCAGTTTACAGTATTTGTTTCAATTCATTCACTCAGAGCACTGTGGTAAATTAGAAAGAATAAACTGTTTCAGTTTTACTTACAATAAAGTAAAACAAAAATAAACATGTTTTGTGGAAATGTGAATGCGTTTTATTACTGAGCTTAATTGGTTGATTAGCTTTCATGTTGAACTAACTAATTCACTGACAGAACACTTAACTCTTAACAGTTCACTTTTGACTCCATAACTCTAACACGCTGACAGAATGCTAACTAAACCCTGCTGTAATCTAACTACTGTATTTGGGAAAAGACGGGGAAAAGAGTCTGAGGTAGAGAGGGAAACAATTGACTGCTATTGAGTTGAGAGCAACCCAAGTTAAGAAAAGTTCCTCCCATCCAAAAATCCTTTTAAAGGCATCATATGAAGGTACAATATACGTATAGCATACAACAAGAAACAAGGCATGGTTGGTGTGGAATTAAGACGTCCATGGTGGCCTGACAACCAAATGTTCCTTCACATTGCTCCATTGCTTCCATGTACATGTCAATTCCATGCCACCTTACTTTAACCAACAGGTGAAGCCCCACACAGCACAGCGGGATGTGATTTTGAGCAGATCTATAGAGGATTTGGGGATTTCTTACTTTTTTTCTTTTTTGTAAATGCAAGTGCTTGTTGGACTGTCACTTCTGTCCTGTCAAGTCATTTCTGACTTAGGACAATGGTATGAATTAATAGGCTCCACAAGGCTCAGGTCTTGCAACTATATGCTGTCACTTCTTTCATCAACTCATCTCATGTTTGGCCCTCCTCTCCCTTCTGCCTTCCACCTTTGCTATAATTATTGTCTTTTCCAGTTAGCTTTTTCCTTCTCTATATCCAAAATATAAAATGCACATTTGGGAGAGTCTAATGTAGACTGAATTAGAACTGCTGAAAGTTGTTGACCCTATCTACTACCTTATCTAGTACCTAGTTGTTGTCCCTATCTAGTACTCTAGAAGGTGTTTACAACACCTTCTAGAACTGACACCAAAGAAAGATGTTCTTCTCATTCTAGGGGATTGGAATGCTAAAGTAAGGAGTCAAGAGATAAAAGGAACAACAGGGAAGTTTTGCCTTGGAGTTCTAAACCAGTGGTTCTTAACCTTTGTTACTCGGATGCTTTTGAACTGCAACTCCCAGAAACCCCAGTCAGCACAGCTGGTGGTGAAGGCTTCTGAGAGTTGCAGTCCAAAACTCCTGAGTAACCCAAGGTTAAGAACCAGTGTTCTAAACAAAGCAGGGCAAAGGCTAATAGAGTTTTGTCAAGAGAACAAGCTGGTCATCACAAACACTCTTTTCCAACAACACAAGAGGTGACTCTATACATGGAAATCACCAGATGGGCAATATCTAAATCAGATTGATTATATTATCTGCAGCCAAAAATGGAGAAGCTCTATACAGTCAGCAAAAACAAGACCTGGAGATGTTCTCCCCCTAGTGGTAGAGTACGTATTAACCAGCTTTGCATTAGTTCCTATGGGAACTAATGCTTCAATGTATGAACGCATCTCTACATAACAAAAAAACAGTCAGAACGGATTAATTGGTTTTCAGTCCATTCCTATGGGAAATTTTTCTTCAACTTAAGAACGTTTCAACTTAAGAACACCATTCCAAAACGGATTAAGTTCTTAAGTAGAGGTTCCACTGTAGTTTCTATGGACGGAAAAGAGCAGATACGGATTAAATGGTTTTCAATGAATTCCGATGGGAAATGCAGATTCAACATAAGAACTTTTCAACTTGAGAACCACCTTCCAATACGGATTAAGTTCTTAAGTAGAGACCCCACTGTATAGGAGGCAGCAACAAAAACCATCCCAAAGAAAAGGAAATGCAAAAAAGCAAAGTGGCTGTCCAACGAGGCTTAGAAATAGCAGAGAGGAGAAGGGAAGCAAAATGCAAGGGAGGCAGCACATTAAGGAGGGCTGATGTTGGGTGAAGCCCATTAGTCCTTATTTTAATCAGCTACAGACTTTCTGGAAATAAAATTTAGAAGTGGATCTCATATTTTACACCTCTTCCTTACTTGGGAATGAGATTGAGATTCCATATGCTTATTTCTTGTATTTTGAGATTCAGCTAGCAAAACAATTGGTGTGAATGTTAGTGAGAGTCATGGAGTGGTCAAATCAGCCAACCCCCAAACCTGGTGTTCTCCTCATGTCCTGGATGGCTGTTTCCATCAGTCCCTGTTAAGGGATGGTGCGAATCATAGTTCAGAACATCTGGAAGGCAATATAAAAGGGGATATTGAATTAAAATATTAGACTAGGGCTGTTTATGATTTGCTTGTTATATTTCTATCCCATCTGTTTTCTAGTGAGCTCAAGCACATGGCCTGTCTCCTCCCCACATCACTGTTGTGAATGTGACTGGACCAAAGTCATCCAGTGAGCTTCATGGCTCAGTGGGGATTTGAACCCATGTCTCCTTATCCTCAGTCTAGCCCTGTAGGACTTGGGAGACCAAGGGCTAAATCTTTTTTTCATGGCAAGCAGATCAGGCATGGCAGACTAGTTTTGCTGCGGTAGTGCTGATTTGTGCCAGGACATTTGTAACTACCAAGTTACGAAGCTGTATATAACTAAAGTTCAAGGTAAATGTTTGAAGGGCTGTAACTGAATGGTAATGTGTAGGTATTGAATGTGAAAGGCACCATGTTGAGTCCTTGGTTTCCCTTGGTAGGGCTGCCTAAAATGCTGGAAAATGGCTATTTGTCACTGGCCAACATCTTCTTACTTAGTTACCCTGGTATAGCACAACTGATGTAACATCTGGATGTGAATTGCCCCAAATTAAGAAATTATCATAGATACCATCTCCCCCCCCAAAAAACCCCTAGCTAGCATGGCCAATGGTAAGGGATTCTGGGAGTTGATGTCCCAAATATTCAAAGAATCAAAGCTTGAAAACTACTGTAGTAGACTTCAAAGTACCGTAAGTCAGTCAGTCAGTAAGTAAAAGTGAATATTGATTAATGGACCTCAGAGTCTTTCTTTTTTATCTATGTTTTAGTTTGTAACAAACAGTAAAAAATAAAATGAGACACAACTAACCAAAAAACCCTGCATGACACAAAAATAACACAATAATACAAAAAAGTGCTCCCTCCCTTCATCTAGTGTTACAGCCATTTTTTCCCTTCCCTTTCCAAAACTGCACTGATTCTTGTGAAGGTATCCAATCCTTTCCTTTATTTAATACAAACTCAATAAATTATTCCCACATGTAAATATATTCTTATGAAACTACAGTATTGCTTTTTCATTTTCATATGACACATAAATTTATCATTAATAGCTCTATTCCAAACTTCTTTATACCAGTCATTTAATTGCTTAATGTTCTAATTCCTTGCTACCATTAATCTTGTTATGCTTAATAAATTTGAAGTACATTATTTCATTGCCCATCTCCATTGCTCCTTATCAGATTTGCTTTCTTGTCATTTAATTTTCCTCACTGGAAGCTTGCTCGCTCGTTTCTTATTTGTTGGCTCCTCCTTGGGTCTCATATTATCACAATACTAACAACTGAGCAGTAATAACCAATGAAAATAATAACATTTCCTCTAGAGGGGAAGTGTGAGAAGGAAGGGAAATAGAACAAAAGGAAAAACAGGAAATAAAAAGCAGGCATTGACAGTAGAAATAAAAAGTCAGTAAGAACGAGTTGTCAAGAAAGGACCGTCGTGCAATGAAAACAAGCAGAACATGGTGCGTTGCTGTTATTTTTTAAAATGAGTGTTTTACAAACTTGCTTGTTAATTTGGATTTTGGATGGTTTCAGATATTGCAGATTTCAGCTTAATTTGAACTGTACTAAAGGATGTAGATTGTATTTCTTTGCTGCCTTGGGCTTGCTATCTGGTTCATTGGGAGGTATGTAAGCTTTTAAGAATATTCACATTAATTTTCTTATTTCATTTTAAAAGCTCGTATTTTGTTTCTATTTGCAAGCTGTGATCTACTTGGTAGTGGAAGGTGGAGAAAGCTGATGTTAATTGTGGAGGAAGTATTTTAACTCCTCATCCATACTATCTGCTTTGCCCCCACCCCCATTGGCCCTGATAAAGGAGAACGGTACCTGTCTTGTTTTCAGAGTACAGCTAATAACACCTTCTGAGAAGTGGATTTTTAGTGAGACAGTTGTGCAAGGAGAAGGTGTAAACCTTTGCTAATGCTCTTGGTAGCAGGCTGCTGCTGCAAAATATTATTTGCATTTTTATTTTTCAGATCGGGTAGCCAGATCACTAATCCTTCTGTTTTCATTTGTTCTGGCCCTTTATCACGAAAACTGTCCATATGTATTCCTGTTATTTTCTGGAAAGCACCGAGTGTATTTTTACATTCCGTTTCCCATTATAATTTTCATCCACTGCACCACAAAAGTTCAGCAATTAAATCATTCCCTAATAGGGCAGTAAACACCATGGGAAAACCTCCATTCTTTTGTCTGCTCACAGTATGTTGCATTGCTTTTAAAAGAAGTGTACAGTAGAAAAACAAGCAGACTCCAGTTTGCCTGAAGAAGAAGGGGCTGAGAGGGGATATGATAACCATCCCTGGTTAAGAGCTGTCATATGAAAGAGGGATCAAGGTTGTTTACTGCTGCTCTAAAGGACAGGAAGTAAAATATTAGATTAAAATTATAATGAAAAAACATTCTGATTAAAGTTTAAAAAGATCTTTCTGACAGTCAAAGACATTTGATAATGATGGACCACCTTGGAAGGTGATTAAACAGAAGCTGGATGGCCATCTGTTGAGGCTGTTTTTGCAGTGAATTCCAGCATTGGCAGGAGTTAGACTAGATGATCCTTGGGACCCTTCTAGCTCTAGAATTCTACTGCAATATTACCCTTATATTTAGAAATTGGGAGGTCATGAAATGGGATAAACCACAGAAAAGGAGTAGTGGTTCCCATGCTAGAAAAGATCCCTCCTTTCTCTGAATGGACCTGACACATAACAATATCAAGTCTATCTCAAAGAAGCTGCTGAGAAAGATACATGGTCTTAAGCTAGACAGACAAATGCTCTAATTCTTCAATGTGCATCTCATATGGAACAGTTTCTCAATTTTGTTTCTTTGTTTAAATGAAGGGTGTATAGAAGGATGTCAATTTTAAGTAAAAAAACTAGTGTGATAGTGATGATCTTTTCTCTTCTGATTGTTTCCCACCTGCATCTTTTCTCGGAGAGGGTTTCAAAAAAATAACCAAAGGGAAAGACTTCAACACCTTTCCACCTCACTTCTCAGATCAGTCCAGCCGCTTACTGCAGCTGCTTTTCATTTAAAAAGAACATTGTGATAATACTCCATGCATACTCCATGCCACATCTGGCTTGGCCCTTTATACCTTTATTTTTCTAATGTGATGTATAAACCTTGCAAACCTCCCAGGATCTTTCTGTTTGTTTAAATCACAGATGAGCAATATGTGGCCCATAAACCAAATGCAGCCCCTAGCACCTGTTTGAGGGCATGATGAGGCTTCTTAAGTTTTTTTTTTAAAAGCATTTTTAGAAAGAAATATGGTTTGGGGGTGGATGGAGGGGTAGGAGCTTGAGTGGCCGGCCACCCAAGCTACAAGGATATTTGTTCCACCTTTAGTTTATATATTTATGGTGACTCATGAATCTCAAAATCTTCCAGTTATCATGATCAGTGACACTCTAGCTTGGGAATTCTCTAATTGTCATCCAGAATTTTCCAGGCTCTGTTTCAATCACATGAGTCCAATAATTTTTTTGAAGCTCTGAAGTTGATCATTGGACACTAGACAAACTTATAAACATATTCAGTTTGTAAAGTGTGTCTGTGGGCAGGGGATTCCAGGCATGTATTGCTTCAGTCCTGATGAGCAGATTTACAGTATTACTAGGGCTGGGCTGTGTGCCAGCTCCTAACCCTTTGCACTTATCATAGTCTTCCTGATGCTGGGAGTGGCTCTTATCGGATGTGCTACTGATTCATTTATGTCTTGGTAATCAAACATGGTGGTTGTGTGGTGATCAAGTTGCTGTATTCCAGGAAACAATTTTGAGAGTTCCTTCTGCCTTCCTATGTCAGTTGCCCTCGCCCCCCAAGAGAGAGAAAGTGCTGCTGGATCCATGCCTTGCTGGCTCCCTGCCTATAGGCAGCTGACTAACCAGTGTGAACAGAATTTTTGACTAGATATGCTTTTGATCCAATCCAACATGGCTCCTTTATGTTCTCTAACCATATAGCCACTTGGAAAGCTAAGTATAATAATCTTAGAACTGCAGAGCTGGAAGGGACCAGAGAACCTCTGGATAGCTCAGTGGTTTAGACGTCTGGCTGCAGAGCCAGAGGTTGGGAGTTTGATTCTCCAACTGTGCCTCCTTGATGGGCTGGACTCAATGATCCATAGGGTCTCTTTCAGCTCTGCATTTCTAAGATTATTATAAATCTAACATGACAACTGCTTATGTTTATAAGTTTGTCTGGTATAGGAAGATTGACATCCCAGTGGAACTGACATCTGTTTGAAATCCTCAGAGTGGCAACCAGATTAGTCTGCGGTCTGTTGCAGCAAAGTCACAGACAGAAAAATCTTACAGTATGGTGCTTTGGAGACTAACAAATTTTATTTGACATATGTTTTCATGGACTACAGCCCCTGAACATTTTGCACATATACTGTATAAAAAAATTAGACCTCTGTGTTGTTATGAATCAGCAACACAACTCTGATTTACAATGATCCCCAATAGGTTATAAAAGGTGTATAAAGGTGTTCCAAGAGTGGTTTATTTTTGCCACTCCATAGTGAGTTTCCATCGAACAGAAGTTTCAACCCAGGTTCTACAAGCTAGTTTGAAAGCTGCCTGGGCCAAGCTTCTTTGGAAGGGCCTCCCGTGTCTACTAATTCCCACAACCCAGTTGAGTTTCAGGAGACTAGTGGTTCCCAACCTTGGGTAACCCAGATGTTCTTACACTGCAATTCCCAGAAACCCTGGCCAGCACAGTTTGTGAAGAAGGGTTCTGGAAATTGCAGTCCAAGAACACCTGGGTTACCCAAGGTTGGGAGCCATTGCAGTAGACTGTAAGCTTGAGCAGCAGTTCTTAGTTTCTTGGGCTACAGACCCCTCTGAGAATCTGATGAAAATGATGGATTCCCTCCCGAGAAAAATCTAAATATATATACATTTTGCCTAGAGTTTGTTTGTCTGAGCCTGTTGAATAGACTCTGCAAGTTAATAGATTCTATGAAGCCCAAAGACCACAGATTAAAACGTCCTACAATAGAGATGAGTTAGTTAGTGCATTGCACTTGTTTTGGGCTGTGTCTCCTCTGAGCCCCAGGTAGCATAACCACTTGCCACCAATAGTAGGAACTGTAGTCCAAAAAGACCCAGAGGATACCAGGGTGCCCATCCTTGTTTTACATAAATTGTTGCTATGCCACCGACACAAAGAACTATCTGATTTCTCAACCCAATTTCTGGGTCAGACACCTTAAACATGTGCACCTGGATTTTAATGCAGAACCAGTTGTTAGAGGTATTTGGAGCTTCAGAAAAGGCAAGGAGTCATTAAAATCAAATGTTGAGGTCTTCCACAGAAATGTTAGAAACTGCTGACTGCAAGAATATTTTTTTGTAAATGCCATCTCTTCACCTTTCCTTCCATGATTGATGAAAGTCTGTAAGTTTATTCCATTTTATCTTCACAGTGATCTCATTACATAGATGGGGCTAGAGATGCTGAGCAGTGAACTTCTTGGCCAAGAGTAGAACCCAATTCTATAAAAGTCTAAAACCCCTAATCTAGAACTGACATCTACAACATTGAAAACCTAGTTTTTGTATTCTTCATCCATTCGGAAAGGTAAATACTCATCCTCTAATCTTCTCTTGATTTATACTTTTTAAAAAATCATTTACAAGTGGTGCCTCGCATAGCGAGGTTAATCCGTTCCGGATTAACCTTCGCTATGCTGAAGCATCGTTGAACGGATCAAAAAAACCCATTGGAACGCATTAAACATCGTTTAATGCATTCCAAATGGGCCAAATACTCACCGTTCAGCGAAGCTTCATAATGGCCGGCAGCCATTTTCGCGCCCTCGCCTCGCTTAACGAGGGCGCGAAAACGCTGCGCGCGGCCATTTTGGGCCATTTCCGGGCTTCCGGTGGCCATTTTGGCCGCCGAACAGCTGATGGGTGGGCTTCGTTTTGCGAAGATCAGTAAGCGAAACGCTTACCAGTCTTCGCAAAGCGAATTTAGCCCTATTTTAAAAACGTTAAGTGATCGCATTAGCGATCCGAAAAAACGAATCGCTATGCGATTTCATCATTATGCGGTGCGCTCGTTAAGCGAGGCACCACTGTATTTGCTCTGCTCCTCAGCAATTCAAATGCACGTGTTGCTGTTAAACCAAACCAAAACAGATCTGGCTGCTTCTTGTTGGTTCTTGATATAATCTATTATGCAGCATCCCATCAAGCATCTGAGCCTAAGAGCACTCCAATATCAGGGGCTATATTGTGTAATGAAAGTTGTGTGGTTTTGTTCAAAAAGCAACAGAGGATTCTGGAACCAAAGCATCACGTGTTGACTAGTCTGCTGTTCGCATCTAAAAAGCTGTGCTCTCTGTTTGCCCTGAATATAAGCTTTTTTCTTCATCTGGATTGTCCGCAGAACATCCAGAAAACAGATGGATAATTAGATGGACACAAGACCATTGTGCACCCTGTGGGGTTAATTTGGGGAAGTGAGTCCTTTCTGTGACTGCGAGTTGCTTTTATTCTCTTCCTTGGGAAGAAGGGTAGGATGATGTTGCATGTCTTTTCTCCAGTGGGGATAAAAGGAGCTAGGGTTGGGTTTTTTTGAAGGATTTTTAGTAGGGAAGTTGGAAGAGTGAAAGACGGATTGAACTAAAAACCCCCTCAAGAAATTCAAAAGCATATGTAATCTGTTGTATGCAACAACATCCTTTCCATCAGATTGCATTTCCTTTCCCCTTTCAACTTCTCATGCACCCCACCAGATCTGGTCTGGAAGAACCTTCTGGATGAGATTTGGGGTATATCTGTATACTGGAAGAGAGAAGCAAGGAAACTCCCATTGTGGGACTGGAAATCTACTCGCCTAGTCGAACTTGTAGTCCTGCCTCAACTGCTTTATTGCATTATGGCCTTCTATGGTAGGAGTTGGGAACATCTGCTTCTCCAGAGGTTGTTGGACTGCAACTCTCATCAGCCATAGCCAGCATGGCGACCGATGAGAGATCATGGTAGTTGCAGTCCAACATCTAGAGGATCATAGACAGGTCTGTAACTACGATAAAACAACTGGGGCTTTGCCCCAAGGCAACTACATTTAGATGGCATTGAAATCTAGTTGTGAACCTATAGGTAACACCTCCTATCTCACTCAGTTTCTTCCTCCTCCTTCTCTTCTTCTGTAAAGCATAAATTTTACAGGGGAATTGGTTAGTGCTGCTTTTAGTAGGTGTGACTGGAAGGGACCTTTCTGCATTGGGGTGACTGTCTATCTATCCAGCACTAACCAAATATTCTTTCCCTGCCTCTGAATTTAAAGAGAGCCCTGCCTCTCTGCTCTGTGTCTCTTTTTCCTCTTTGCTCTGCTGAAGTCTGTTGACCGTGCCTCAGGGCAAAGTGAGTGGGAGTTAGTGCTGCTTGCCCTGAGTGCCAATATTGCTAGTTGCAGCTTTGGTCACACATTTCCCATCTGTGGATTTATAACAGATTTCTGCATGCTTTCTGCTTTCTGTACATTCATTCCATGCAGTATTTTAACATTCAGACTTCTTTTCTTCCAACCAGAAAGAAGGGATAGAATGTTTTTCTAGCTTCTGTTCTTTACTGAGCACTAGAGGATAGTGGCCACAAACTGTTGAGATCTGCTTTTATTCAGGTCTGCTTTATGACATAGTTAGAAAAAAAAGTCTGGGTGCTTTAGAGATGGTAGGCATTGTATCTAAGCAGATGATTCAGATGGGAAAAAGTAATATGTTATTGCTTTCTTCTTTCAGGAGTAACCGATGAATCATTTGGTGTTTCAGACAGTAGTACTCTACGCAGTGCTGTATTTTGGTCAAGGTAGACATCCAAACGTTTGCTTTCCTTTAAAAAAGAAAAAATGTAACAATGCTCTTCTCTAAACAGAATTATTCATTTCCTTTTAAAAAAAGATAATTTATTAATACCTAACATTTAGTATAATGCCTGTTCTCAAATCTAGATGTGTAATAGCAAACAATGTCACATTTCTAATGACTTATGTAAGGGAGGGCAGTTACTTTGTTAAATAAATCTTGATTTAATTATTACATGGTTGTTTAGATGTATATTAGCACGCACTGGCAATGTACTGATTTTTTAAAAACCATTTTTGCTTGTTTTCAGTTAAGGCATATATGTGCCCCAAGCAGACATCATTTGGGAAATACATTCATTCTTGTGGGGGAGGAAAAAGGTGCCTGCCACCTTTCGTATATATTTCCATCAGAAATTTTTTAAAAAGACCTCCAGGGTGCATTTGGTTAATCAAGAGCTTTGTAATTGATTAATCTAACCAATTAATTGGCTAGGTATTTTAGCTCAACACATAACTGGATCCAGTGTATTGTTTTACAATCCATTAGTATGGAGTCTGGTTCCACTTTGTACTTTAGTACAGCTGGAAATATTTTAAATTCCATAAATTGTATTTCATTTCACTTTGGAAGATGCTAGTTTGAGGAGTAGGGGAAAATGAACCACTGGGTAGCATTTGCCTAAGTATTTGGACATTTGAATATTTGAAGTTTTTTGTTCATTTGTATTCATCGTGATAGATTAGATGAATTCTATAAAATGTAGTTTTCTGGACTAATGGATTGTGAATCACTGGGAGTTATGAGAACCAATATTGCATTAGAGAACCAGGATAGCCTCATTCTGTGGATTTGGTGCAGTTTACATGCACTGTTCTGAATATGTTGCACAGTGTCCAATTTTCCTGTACAAAGCATAGAAAAGGGAACCTATACAAAAATTCTGTGCAAGTGTTTTATATAGGAAACTAGTGGTTTTAATAACTATGGAGTTGATTATGTTGAATTTAATAAATACATAGGATTAGAGAGTGGAGTGAATGAGCTTGATCTGCAGACTGAGGACAGGTTGATTTTTTCAGCACATTTTCAAGTCCAGGTGTTCCTCCCTATTTCAGAGCGGATATGTAGGGTAAAAGTGATCCTGCCTGCGTAACTGATGTAACTTGTAGTTTAATCCTCTAAACCAGTGTTTCCCAATCTTAGGTAATTCAAGTGCACTGCTCCTCCTCCTCCCAGAAGACTTTACCACTAGCTGTGCTGGCTGGGATTTCAGGAAGCTGCAGTCCGAAAACACCTGGGTTAGCCAAGGTTGGGAAGCACTGCTTTAAGCAATCAGTGCAGAGTTAGATGTTATGCAAAAAGCAATGGTTGTGTGTTACTAGATACAGGCTACCAAGTAAAATTTATTTGCAGCTTACAGATTCAAGGAAGCCTCATAGTATGTGTGCTTAATATCTATACTTTCCCTCTAAGGTAATCATGTCATTCAACCTAGAAACCTCAAGGTTTCCATGAACCTTACACTTCAGCAGTTATTACTGGAATGGTATGTTAGTGATGATCCTAAAACAAACCACTGTGAAATAGATATAGTTTTTACCATCCAAATATATCGAACTGAAGAGAATAATGTCATCTTGACTGTAAGTAGCCTCCTAAAAACAGTTTTTTTGAAAAGATTGCAGAGGTGGGATTTTCACTCCCCCCCCCCCACGTACTTTGTCCATCTAATGAGCCTATTCAGACCAGGGGGAAGGGGAGCCAATGTGGAAGATATATCAGGGGTCTCCTAACAACTCTCCTCAGACTTGAAGAAGATACTTGGATGAGTTGTGAAACGTTTCAACCTAATAAGTAAGAAGTCCAGTAGTCATGACTCAACTCCCATATATAGAAGTCTAGTAGCCATGACTCAACTTCCATATATCCTCAGCTAGATGACTAAGAATCTTCACAGATATAAGGTTCTTGAAAATACCTTAATTTCCAGATCAGAGTCAATTGACTGAGAATCTTCACAGATACAGTATAAGGTTCTTGAAAATATCTTAATTTCCAGATCAGAGTCAGATTTTTTTAGCATATGCATGCCTACTTTTCTAATTTAATGAGCATATTTAAGTCTGCATTAGATGGAGCGAAACATTTGGATGCAGACCCTGAGGGGAAATGTCTCCTCTCAGTTGGGTTAAAAGCCATAGTAGTAAGCCAAAATATTTAATGTTATCTAATAAAAATGCATAGCCAATCAAATAACTTTCCTTAAGTATTCTTCAAAATACTTTGAATCTTCCATGTTTTCACTTTTGTTATTGTTGATGTAATGTTGGGGGAATGCAAATCTAAACGGGACACAGCTCAGAAGTAAGATTGGCAGTTACCATAACTTAGAAGTCAGACTGTAATTTGAACTCCTAAAAGTCAGCTGTGGTTCAGAGGGGCTTGCCTGCTTAACTTTTGAGCAAACAGTGCTGTTGAAACACTGTTCAGATAGTCACAGCTGCCTTTTGAGATGGGGTAACATTATAGCAGACCCTGAGGGGAAATGTCTCCTCTCATTTGGGTTAAAAGCCATAGTACTAAGCCAAAATATTTAATGTTATATAATAAAAATGCATAGCCAATGACATAAATAGGTACCATCTCGGTGGGAAGGTAAAACAGCATTCCCTAGTCACGCTGGCCACGTGACAACGGAAACTGTCTTCGGACAAATGCTGGCTCTACAGCTTGGAAACAGGGATGAGCACCGCCCCCTAGAGTCGGACACGACTGACTAAAATGTCAAGGGAAACCTTTACCTTTTTACCTAACATTATAACTATGATGTGTCAGTTGAAATCATGATCATTTTTCTTAATCATAGTTTGACTTCATGTCTAAATTGAACTTTCCCTCACTTCTTATTTCCTCTTCTTTTTCTCTTCAAGAGGAGGAGAGTTTACTCTTGAATTTTAAATCAAATTGGGGTCCTGGTGCCTAAAATGGTTACAGAGGAGGTGCCTTTTTAAAGCAAGGAGCTCTATAGACAAGGAGTAACCACCAAGAACGCCTTTCTGCTTTTAACTCCTTGGCTTACTTCTGATGGAGTAGCACCCTTTTCAAAGATCTCACCATATGAATGGATCGATAGGGAAACAAACATGCATTCATGAGTGATGTAGTGGTAAATTTATGTTGTGATGTTCATCATGATAATTCTTGTAGCCACTCCCCGAAGTGAATCCAAAACGTGGGCAGCAGGATCAATTTGTATCAATAAGTGAGGCCAGATTTTCTATATAGCTTATGGCTTCAAATATATTGTTTTACAGCAGGGGTAGCTTGGAACAATACTGTATACGGTTCCAGCAAAAATAAATTTCTCCCCCAGCTGCTATGAGAACTATAACTTGCTCAATGAAAATGGTGAAACCTAACAGGAAAGGACCAGGAAATCTTCTATAAGAAATCGGGTCTCTTCAGTGATGGCACCATCCCTGTGGAATGGGCTCCTGGTTTCACCCCTACCCTCCCTAGTTTTAAGAGCCTGCTGAAGACTCTTCTCTTTCAGGAAGCTTTTGAAGGCAGCCTATTTAATTTAATTTATTTATTTAACTTTTGAACTCTTCCACCCTTGTTCTGCCACTCTAATTCTTTACACCTTCCAAGTTTATACTAGTTTTTGGTGTTGTTTTATGCTATGTCTGTGGTTTTATTTAATTTCATGTTTTGTGCAAACCACCCACAATAGTGCTATGCAATAGTGGGGCAGTATAGAAGTACCAGAAATCAATAAATACAAATAATTAAGTATTTTAGTCTCTGTTACTCAGAGAGTCCCAAGGCTTTGATCCTGTGGGGGACCTCATTCTTTACACCACTGCCTTAAAATAATGATGGCTTAAGCTTGTAGGTCTTTTGGAACAACCATGGTGGAAGCCCAAAGTACTCCACCCCTCTCCTCTCCTCTCCCTCCCTCTCCCCCTCCATCCATCCAATGGAGCCTGGGCACTGCCTAAGGAGAAGGCAGCATTTATGCCACAGTGTTAAGCAGAGTATAGTGCCACGACTCTGTCACGTGGAGGCCAGGAGATGTACAGGGAGAAACTGGGAATTGGGGCTTAGAAAATGTAAATGTTTGGGAGGCAGGGAAGAAATGAAAGACAGTCCAGGGCCTGAAGGGACCACATTGATGGGGTTAAAGGAGCCAGAATAGAACCAGGAGGAGGATCTTGTGAAAGAGACTCTGTTGAAGGGGGATGGAAATGAGACACACACACATCCAGCTGCCCTGAGGAGGGAAGTCCAACACAAGGCTGCAAGGTCTCAAATCTCCCAATTCCTTCTCTTGCCTTCCATGAGGTTAGATGGCTATTGGAATATCTTCCCTTTTATCTTTCTGCTGACAGTTGAAGACCTATCTCTTTAGGCAGGCTTTAAATAATCATAACTGAGCCCTGAATGAAGGGTTTTTTTTAGTTGATTAAGTTGTTTTTAAAGTTTTAAATGTTTTAAATAATTTGATGTATTTTAATTACTATTCCAGTTTAATTATTTTTCATGCAAAGTTTGTTGTGTTTTTAATTCAATTTCCCAACCCTGACAGCTGCCTTGAGACCCTTGGTTGAAAGAAAAGTGACCTATAAATGAGAAAAACAAATAAAATAAATAAAAAATCCCCCTTGAGGCAGGAGAAACATGAGATCAAAGGCTCTGGAAAGGTTGGTGTGGAAGCTGAAACCAGGCTGGACCCCTGAATAGTGAGGTCCTGACCCTGTGAAGAAGCAAGGATGAAGTGTGAGAAAGGGAAAGGGATACCCTAAATACTTGCCTTTACTTACCATGTGCTGGAAAGGAAAATGGCTAATGTGTCACTTTCTGAAATGGAAGAAAACTCACCTGTTACTCAGATTATCTGTTTCAGATAATTATGATCATTAGTAAAATGGAGAAGCCATGCCCCACTAGGGCAAAGCTAGTTCCAGCATTATCTCTCTGCAATAATGATCCAGAAGTCTCTACTTTCCACCCCTTGTCTCTACTTTCCACCCACAACTGATTTGTTGTTGTGTTTTTAGGAAAACTATACAACGGCTCTAAATAAATCAAATCAACCTCTGAATTGGAGCTGGATTTCCGACATTCCCTTGCAATGTGCGACTCATGGAGTAAGACTCCGGAGCATGGTGGCTCCTCTTGAAGCTTGGAGTAACTGGACTTCATGGGAGGCTGTGGATGGTAAACCTATTTTGCCAATGTAAAGCATGAAATACAGCATTATGCATGTTGGAGAAGTCACATCAGCATCACAGCATCATGTGCATTTTCATGAACCCAAGTTCCTCATTCTATGTTCCTCTTCCAAGATTCCTGAGAAAGACAACTTTTTTTGGGACGATGAACATGTTGTTGTTTTGCTAGGGTTGATGAACTGTTTCATTTCCCCGCTGCTTTAAAAGTATGAAATAGCAGGAAGTTATATCAAATTGTGCCCAACACACATTCAGATTTCTTGTCTCCCTTTCGCTCCCTCTTCAAAACCCACCTTTCCCAAGAAGGCTTTATCACAGACCCTAGTTCTAAAAGTTTGACCTTACAGTATTTTGATTCTGTTTGCATCTGCTCTTCATCTCTCTTCTTGTCTTCATATCATAAGGATTGCAAGTCCTTAAGGCAAGGAAATAACCTCTTATGCTCTGAGAGTTCTTTCTATTTTATTTATATGCCGCTCTGGTAGGAGTGGACAGGTGTGGCTCCCAAGCATTCTGGGGTACCTGAAACCCATGATTTCCTACCAACATTTTGTTTAATAGCTCAAAAATGACAGCCTAAAGAGGGAGACATTGTTATATCTGTGCATAGTCTCCCCATGACCCACAACCTTGACTTTTAAAAATATGTTCTGGCTCACTTGTCTCACATGGAGATCAAAAATGTTCTCCATCATCATCATCATTGGTAGTAGTACTGGTAGTCCCATTTAGCTAAACATGAAATCATGTAAACCAATTGCACTGTAAAACTGTTGAAATCAAGTAAATACGCTAAAATCAGCAAAACATAGACAACACAGCAGGGCACTTTTAGACAGTTGTTTTTGCTTAATTGAAGTGATAATGGGGAGGGGAGGAGTTGCTGTACTTCCCTCATAAAGTGTGCTCCCTCCATGGTTTCATAACAATGGAGTAAAGCTATGGTCAAATTATTATTAATTATTCATGCACCTTTGAAAGTGGTTTAAAACTTTGGTGCCATGCTTGATTCTTGTCCTTTAACTGTTCTTACCTCCAGGGTTTGCCTAATTTAAATCCTATATGGTAGCTTCATGTTGCTGCTTCTCATGCCCCCTAAGCCCCAAGGTAATGGCCCCTTGCACTAAGAGGAGTTGGAGGCTGGCACAGATTGGGGAAGTGAGAAAAAATGGCAGGGGAACAAAACACCTTCAGATGGACACTTGTGGAGAGCTGGCTGACGTGCATGTCCATGAACCATCACAAGTCCACCAAATCTTTGCATCTTAAAAGAATGTTTAGGAAAATATAGGGAAGTCCCTAAGAAAGGAGCTGGGATAGCATAGCAATGATAAGGCTGAACTGGGAAGTAGGAAGTCCCACGCTAGATGATTTCTCTGCTACAAACTCATAAGTCACCAGGTTCCCGCCTGTCTCTACTTTAGTGCCCTCACTGCTATATTGTTGTAAGGGTTGCAGTTGAGAGGATGGATATGCATTAAAATGTTTGAAACCACTTGACAGATCTTAAATATTGCAATTTACATTTGCTCCCCACGCGCCCCAGGTTACAAATAAGACTCCCACAAGTACTTAAACAAGCAGGACAGGCAAGTTGGATCTCTTTCATTGTGGTCTCTTTCTTCAGGTCTGGATGTCCTGAATGACAGCAAGGGCTACATTTTCCCATACGAAAAATATGTTGAAGAGGGTTCCAGTGTCACTTTTTGCTGCATTGCGAAAAAAAATGAACATGTCACCAATTATACTTTTCATAAACATACGGAAATAGTGAATACAACACAGCAGAGAATAATGTTCACTGAAACAGCTGTTCCACTTACATCGGAAATGGGCCTCAATGTGTATTGCCGTTTCTCTTACCAAAGCAGCTTCTCTGACCTTGATAGGACTGTTCTGTTCGTGACCAGTAAGTACAAAATATTTGTTGATAAGAGTGAGCAGCAATGGGCAGCTTGTGGTCCTTTAGAGCATCAGTCCCCAACCTTTTTAAATCCACGGTCTGGTTGGGGAAGGGGGGGCACCCCCTGCATTCGTGTGCATGCGCAAAGTAGCAGATGTGCACATGCGTTAATGCGCAAAGGAACAGGCACTCGCTCATGCACATGTGCGAAGGGCAGGGGGCACTCAGACACACTCACAAAGGGTGGGGTGGCGCATGTGCACGCATGCACAAAAGGGCTGTGAGGGGGGAGGGTGTGGGACTGGTGGGAGATCTGTCTCCATAGCCCAGTCTGGCCCAGGCCACAGACTGGTACTGGGCTGTGGACTGGAGGTTGGGGACCCCTGCTTTAGAGGTTGCTGGATGGTGTTTCTCACTAGCCTTGGTCCGTATATCCAGTGCTCAGGGATTATGGGAGTTGTGACCACAGGTTGCTCTTCTCTGAATTTGATTAAAGGATTATTTTGGTGAAATCCGCTTTTAATCTTGAAGGCTAGGTTCGAGCTTGCAACAGATTTATTGATCCAAAAAATCAGAATAGGAACTCATATCCTAAATATCTCTCTGTCCCTTCATCTGCCCAGTTCCTAAAACGTGATAGGGAGATGTCTCTTTGAAATTGTATATTAGCAGATGCTACCTTAGTTGGGAGTCTTGTGAAGGCCTTTTCTCGTGGTACTGCTGCCTTTCCTAATTGTTTAATGTTCTCCTGCAGGAGATTCTTTTCACCTCCACTCACTTTAGCTTTCCTAGGGATAGCTCAGTTACGTAGTTGGGTACCTGGCTGTGGAGCTGGAGGTTGAGCGTTCTGTTCTCCACTGTGCATGCTGAGAGAAAATCCAGCTTGTGAAGCCTTTGAGCAAGCTACATGGTCTTAAAGAGTTCCCAGAAGAAGGAAATGGTTATAGTACTGTGTGAAATTCCCTGTTTTTTTCCCCAAAGCCCCAAAGACTATAGGGATCACTGAAGTGTATTTCATCCCCATGCAAGATGTTTCGATTGCCAGGTCTCTGCACGTATTTTGTTAGCTTTTCTCAATTCTTTATTTTCAACTCGGGCATCTCTTGGAATTGCAATGTCAATGATCCAGACATTTCTTCATTCTGTTACTACTATGTGTGGTGTGTTATATTCATGCTGTCTTCCAGTTTGGATCCAGAAATCCTACAGGATCTTGACACCATCATTTTCTGATGCCTTCTCTTCCTGATGTTTCCATTGGTTTTTGGAGGCTAGCAAGTTATATTTTTTGCATATAATGACAAGTGCACTAATTTTGCCACTCTATCGTGTCTATTTTGTAATCTGTTTATGCAGTCTTTGGACTTTCACAGATGAGGTGTGACACAGTTTCATCTATTTCTTGTCAGAGTCAACATTTGCTGTTAGCAGCAATTCCTTGGATCATGTTGGTTTGGAGTGCTTTTTATTGCGCAGCAAAAATCCAACCTTTGGTTTTTTACTTAACAATCCTCAGTTTTAGCCATGCCTATCTTGAATTATGATCATGCTTTCCATCACTATTTCTCAGGTGTTGTCCGCATAATAGTTGAATAAAAGGGATGAATAAAGGATGAATAAAAAGAAGCACATGCCTTTTTTTTTGGCAGGACAGCCTGATGAACCCAGACTTCTTGACTGTGAAACCAAAGATATGGTTGAGTTAAAGTGTACTTGGGATCCTGGTGAAATATATAGTTATAACGATAATTGTTTAACAGAATTCATTTTGTCTGATGTGTAAGTATTCTTGAAATGTTCTTGAAGTCATAGGTCATGATATGGAAGGTCCTTATGAATTATCAGTGATTTTGCTAGGCATTGTTAGAAAAATAGATTGTAGAAGTCAAAATAAGACCTGGAAGTAAAGGTGGAGAAAATGCTAGCTATATTTGTTGTTCATATTGATTTAGGCTATCTCAACACAACAAGACACGTGCAGAGAATGAATTTTAAAACCTTAAGAGATGGCTCACCTCCAGAGTGAGAGCAAGACAAGGAGTGCTGCCCTTGTCAAAGTTTTTACAGCTTATACAAAATGCCTTGGGCAGCATCTGCAATACTAGTATTAAGAAGCAAAGCACAAATACACACAGCAAACATAGAAGGAATAGCTGATTATTTTGAAACACACAAAGAACCCATCCAGTGGTTCAAATTTTTAAAAACGAAATAAGTGAAGCAAACCATAGCTACTGCAGTGTTGTTTTTTTTTTTGCAACTTTCACAAGTTGCACAATTTGAAGCCAGGGTTGGAACTTTCATATATTTTTTGGACTTTCAGAAGTCTGCAGGAGTTCACCATGTCAGGATTCTGTTTTTTTTTAAACAAAACAACAGCAACAACAATCAAAATCAATGTGCTTGTAGGTGTTTTTAATTGCTTACAGTTGAGGAATAAAGGCTCCATCAGACATGATGGGACTTTATGCAGATGGAAGAAGAGGCATGGGAGCGACACACTGTTAGAGGTCTTGTAGTCTCCCTGCCCGTTATGCTCCATACAGGGTGCCTCTCACAAAACTCCCAAACAATTAATGCCCTGTAACTTCCACAGATCATAGCCCCGCTCAACTGTTGTTAACGCTGGTAAGAGAGAGGAAGAATGAATGGGTTCCAGAGGGTTTTCAGAGGAGGTTTGCAGAATGCATTTTAAATCCTAGTTTCTATGTTTCTGTCTCTTAACCTTCAGAACTTCCCTAATATTTAGTTTCTTGCTAGAAGAAGAATAAACCATACCGTCTTCCCACTATTTCTTTACAGTTCTCACACAAAAACATATTGCAGTTGCACAAAGCAGTGCAGGCTGTGCCAATTCAAGGTTTCTGGTGAACAAACCAAATATAACTTAACACTGGTATCCAAAAATTGTCTTGGACAGAAACAGGCTTATGTGGACATTGATGTAGCCAACAGAGGTAAGTGCTAATTTCTTGTATCATGGTCTTTATATTAAATCTTGCTTTCACAGTCAGGAAAATACCAAAGACTCCTGTGTGCTAAATCTGAGTCGAAATACTGAAATGCAAACTCAGTATCACTAAAGCATTTGTGTTCCCCAAGGGTCTGACCATCATTTTAAATTCTCCTCCTCCTCATTTTATTTTATTAATAAGATACAAAAAGAAAAATAATGAAAATAGAAGTGAGTTTATGTACAATTCTTGCATATCATGGGCACCTGGTATTTGTATACATGACTTGTACTCTACATTTTATTCCAGACATACTATTCTACCCTTTAGATCAGACCTGGGCAAAGTGCGATCTGAGGGCGACATACAGCCCGCAAGCCGCTCCTGTCCGGCTCACAGACAGTTTTGAACATCAAAACCATTTATAGCTTTTTGTCTGAAGTTGATCAGTTGCTTATCTTTAACATACCGCAGAAAACCTCTTTAGTATTTGTGAAGATTAACAAGTTTAAAATAAAAACAATCATTACATCACTGTTTCATTTTATTTTTAAGTAAAGTTGGTTCGGCCCCTGAACACAGTTCAGATTTTTCATGTGGCCTCCCTATAGAAATTAATTGCCCACCCCTGCTTTAGATTTACTTGACCTTTTGAAATATATTCTCTGCTCATCCTATGTTCTATCTTATTCTTAGTGCACATTTTCACTCTTTTAACATCTGTTTTCCTATTTACGAGTATTCTTACAGCATTATTTCTGTTGTAATAATGCTGTTCTGTACAGCATTATTACTTTTTTCAAATTCTTTGATAGGTCTTCTGTTTATACAGATGAACTCCCAATCACAACTATTTGGGACACAAGCAAAGCATATATGAGAGGAAATCTGATCTCCATTGCAGTAAAAAAGAAAAGAGAAAAAGCAGAAAAAACAAGAAATTTAACAGATAAAATTGACCTATTAGAAAGACAACACACAAAAAAACAAAAACATTGACAAACAATGAGAGAAAGCAAGAAGCTTAAAGCTCAACTGGATCCTTTACAAGCTGAAGAGATGCAAAAGGAACTCCATATTTATCAAACAGAAATATTTTGAATATGCAAATAAACCAGGTTGATTTTTGGCACAATGTTTAAGAAAGGACGTGGAGAAAAAAATGATAACAGAGACGTGCCCACCAACAGAAGACTGGAAAGGAAAAAAAAACATTTGATTATGCTACAATGGCTAAACTTACAAACTGTATAAACAGAAGACTTTAAATCTTTCTTCAATGTGCAGTCTCTTGTAATGTTTCCCATGATCTCACGCCCCCCCCGGATTAAAATGGCCACTCTTCCAGGGCGGGTCTCTCCTGCAATATCCAGATGTTGTTCTTCTGTTCAGTTCCTCAAAGGCAGCTTGAAATACTACATTGCTAGATCGAAACACATAGAGCTTTGCCTTTTACTGTCTTATTTTCTCACTCAGTAATTACAGATGGACACTCCCCTTAAGTGTCTTTTTGACCCCCTATGGCTTCAGAGCTTCCAATACCATTAATTTTCCTACCATGGTGTTTTCCCCCCAAGGGTCAGATCTACATATCACTTTAAATCCTTCCTCAATATTCAGTCTCTCATAATTTTTTCCATGATCTCACACCCCACTTTAGATTAAAATGGCCGCTGTTTTTGGAGGTGGTCTCCCATGTAATATCAGGATTTGTTTTTACTCTGTATGAACTCCAGAACAATGGAGCATGTATGCACCAGCATCAATTTATAAGACTTTTAAGGCACTATGATGTGGCATTTTTTTTTCTCATTTGATGCCAACAAATTGCTCCTGCCCCTGCTCTGAACATCATCAGCGTCTCTCCTTCCTCTGCAGTCTACCTGCCTCTGCTTACCTTTCTGCTCCCAAGAAAAAGGGCCAAGCTCTCAATGCTACCATTCTCCACTATGAATTAAATGGCATAGCAGCAGCGCCAATGCTACGAAATTTCCCAACACTCCTAGGATCTGTTTTACTACAATAACAGTGACAAGTACTGGAAGAAAGGGATAATGGTGAAAAGAAAGAGAATGGCACTCCTTTTGTACCAAAAAGAACAGGGCAAGCAAGATGAGGGAGGAAGCAAGCACTTAATTTTTGTGATAAGAAGTGCTGCTCTAGTTTCCGTACCCTTCTAAACAATTGTTCTCATTCAAAACAAAGAAATCTTGATCCTCTTCAAGCTTGTTTCCACACTGGTTTCAGTGCTATAACTGAGCTCAACATGCTGTGCTCAATTGCAATCAACCAAAAATCCGTTTTGCCATTTCAGTGTAGCAAATTCTGATACTTGAACACCCTTGCTACACTGCAATACAGTATCAGGAGTAGGAGAAAGGAAAACAACAACAACTTTCTGTAATGGTTTTAGACCAAATGTATCACAGAAGCTGAATCTTAAGTTCATAAGTCAGATTTATTTATTTATCCATTATGATGATTCTGATGAATAAAAAATTCAGTTTAATTAATTAATTAAATTTATATGCCACCCACTCTACCCAGAGGTCTCTGGGTAGCTTTCAGAGAAATACCTTGTTGCAGTGGATGATGAGGCTTCAAAATTGACGTGGTGCATACAAAAACTTAACTCTTTGGCTTAAATCAGAACCTGAGCTGAAGATGTTGTATATATCAGTGTTCCCTGTATTTCCAGTTTTCAGAGGCTGACTGAAACCTAGCATTAGTTGAGCAGACTTCTAGTGAGGGAGTAGTACTTTTTTTTCTCTAGCCCTTTGCAGTTTTTCAGATCTAGTGAACAGATTCTGAAAATAGTGGGTGGTGGAGTATAGTCGTATCTACTTCATTGATGAAAGTCATTCTATGGTTGAGAGAGAGAGAGAGAAACTGGATAGAAATCATGATCAAACTATACACTAAGGGAAATGCTCATTTTCCACTCACAATTCAGTTTTCTCAGAGACAGGAGCCCAGGCAGTCAGACTTGCAAAAAGGATTTTTTTAAACCTTCCAGTGATGTATCACAAAGAACACTACTGTATATGCAAGATTTATAGGTGAGGAAAATCAATTTCTGTGAAAAAGTGTCAGCTTTCCACCCTTAAAGGAGTGCTACTTCTAAATACCAGCTAAATGTAGTTAGACCTTCAGTATTTATTATGTGAGGCTGGTAATTATAAATTTCAGAGATATCAGCTGGTGGTCTGCAATAAGAATAATGAGGCAATTTAAAGTTATTTTGGCTGTTTCTACTGTCTCCAGAAGTTTGAAAAGCTCTTTCAGAAGTGTTTCTCTCTCTCTCTCTCTCTCTCTCTTTAAACCAGTTCTGCTTCCACCTCCTGATGAGCTGTCAGTTGGTTATCAAAATGCAACCATGATCCAGTTATACTGGACTTTAAAACCTATAATGAAAACACTGCTGGTGGTATGCCAGGTTAACATCTTTTCCCTGGATGCGGAAGAAAAACAGGTGAGAAACATCTAATATTAAATTAAGGAAACATGTACTCTCCCTACATCCCCTTTCAGTTTCATAAGGGTAGCCAGATTACAGCAAACCCAACATTTCTTAATTTTAGGATAGCTAACTGAGATGGATGACAGGGCTGCTATACCTTTAATTTCAGCAGGGATTATCTACAGCAGGCTTGTCCAACCTGCGGCCCGAGGGCCACATGCGGCCCAGGTCGGCTTGTAATGCGGCCCAGTGCAATTTTTTATTTTTAAAGAAATTCCAAAGTTTCAAGTTACACTGCCGGCGCTTGCGGCCAGGGCACGTCACAATGGACGGGGGGCGAGAGGGAAGGAAGGAAGGAAAGAGCGGGAGGGGAGGGGACAGGGGGTCTGCGTGACTGCATTGCGCCATCCCCGTCAATAAGTGGACCCCCTCCCAGCCCCATAAAGCCACCAGAGTCGAAGCTGGCAGCCTCTGCTGTCTGAGATCGCAGCTGCCGGTAAGCGTGCTTAGAGCGGGGCTGCGGAGGACGGCTAGGGCTGCCCCCCATGCGGCCCAAACCGAATTTATGTGCGGCCCAAACCAAATTTTCATCTTCTAATGTGGCCCAGAGAAGGTGAAAGGTTGAATGCACCTGATCTACAGCATGAGTTACTTCAGCTGAAATTTTATTTTCTGTGCAGTTATTAAAGATACAGTTCAAATCCCTACTCAGCCATGGAAACTCACTGGAGGTCTGTGTGAAACTGGTAAAACCACACCTGAAATATCTCACTTTCCTTAAAAGCTGTATTAGAGTCATTATTAGTTAATTCCAATTTGACAGCACATATTAAACATAGAGGCCCTGCCCTCCATTTCAGGTTGCCACCCTAATTAATCTACAGGTGCCTCAGAATTCCAATAGATGTCTGTACCAGATGATTTTAGATCTGATGAAACAGAGCTGAGACACAATTGCTGAGGAGAGTAATTTGTTAAGTCTTTAAGAAGCCACAAAAATGACTCATGTACAGCTACACTACGTATGCCCATAGTCTTCAATGTGTGTATGATTCCAGCACTCTTAGTGATGGAGCATCCATCATTTCCAACTCTTGGTCAGGTTTTTGCTAGCAAAGCAGAATGGACGTCAGAAATACTGGTTCCCTTTCTCATCCTCTGTGGCAGCTTTAGAAAAGAAACTACCACTGCAAGCAATGGAGGAAATTCAGCTAGATCAGCATCAGAAACCATCCAGCTGCCATACCATGTGTGGATGGAGGCTTAGATAGATATCAAGGAATCTAGTAGATTAGTGGTTCCCAACCTTGAGTCCCCAGATATTCTTGGACTAAGATTCCCAGAAGCCTTCACCACTAGCTGTGCTGGCTTGGATTTTTGGGAACTAACCGAAGAACATTTGGGGATCCAAAGTTGGGAACAACTGCTAGACCCATGTCTTGTCCATGCCTACCCACCAGCAGACCCTCAGAACGTCCCTTTCCCTTCTCTGCAAGGTGGTTATTCAGACCTTGCAGTGAGAAACCTCCACAGTGACGGGCAGGGACTAGATGACGATTTTCTTCATCAGAGTCTGGAACTATGTCTATGACAAGGGTGGGAATTTCATGGCCTGGGGCCATGTAGAGCCCCCCTCTGCTGTGAAACATGCAAGAAAAAGGACACAAATGGATTCCATCTGCAGACATCTCCAGTCATGTGACCCTCTTTTAAAGCTTTTGTGCTTATTTTATTCAGCAACCCCCACAAATCCCAGCAGCTGTTGAGAAAACGTCCAGTCTTGTCTGATTTTGTCAGAAGGGTGGGGGGGAGATAGCCCACAGTGGGAAATGGTCCCAGACTTTCCAAAGGTGCCAGTTCCCTTAAAAGGGAGTTTCTGATTAATCCTGCGGCTCCACAAATACATTCCCAGAACCTAGGATTACAGCTTTAATTGGTTCCATTAAATGGATTGTTGTGCCTTACTGCTTCCAATGTGTTTTTGTTTTGTTGTTTTTGTAGTGTGCTCTTTGACCCTTTTAAGTATTTGTATGCTTACTGTTTTTAGCTATAAACATTGTCTTTTAGTGATGTAAGCTGCTTTGGGGCCTCTTTTAAGGAAAAAGATTAGGTAAAACAAATAAAATCTAAAATGCAGAAAAATGTATGAGAGAACTGCTGTATTGCTATTATTATTATTGTTGTTGTTGTTGTTGTTGTTGTTGTTGTTATTATTATTATTATTATTATTATTATTATTATTATTATTATTATTATTATTATTATTATTATCATCATCTCTTCATTGCTATTATTATTTTGTTTCTTTCGGTGCCCTTGATTTTAAGAAATGGAAACAGCAGTCATAAAAAACCATCACTTGATAACTGTTTTAATATTTATGTTTTGCAGTACAATATGACTGTGTTGTCCAGTCCACCTTTGCATCCCCATATTAATTTGTATGGGTTACAGGTCTACACAAAGTATACTCTGAAAGTACGGTGTGCTGCTGCCAATGATCTGTTCTGGAAATGGAGCAAATGGAGCCAAACCATAACTATCCAAACAAACGAATCTGGTGAGGATACTGTGCCTGATGGGGAGGATATTGGGTGTTAGCTGGCTTACCGTCCTTTGCATCCACCTGAACTAATTCCCTGACCATCAGTCAGCCCCGTTGCCATGCATGCACTGGGTGAAAGGAGAATGGAAGATGTCCAAAAAACTCCTCTCTTCTGTCCATGTGCACACCAGCAACTGATATGAAGGGAAGAGCAATGATAAGGCCTTTGTCTGTTCTACTGAAGAGTTGTGGCTAGGGGGAGGAGAGATGGAGTTTCAGAAATCTGGTTATCAGATGGCAGGGGGAACACAGGTTACAGGCGCCATCAATACCACTCTGATTGCATTGAAAATGCTGCTGCAGTATTGTTCTAAGCCTTGAAACCCTGAGATCTTTCAAATGACATCACCAGCAGCTACCTCCTAACGTTTCCCTGTTCTAAGGCAAAGCATTTGAGGGTGGCTTGGTCTTGAAGGCGCAGTTAAGAGTCATTACCTTTACAAAAGGACTGGCTACTGATTTGTTGATATGGACCAATCCAGCGACATAAGAAGAGCCCTGCTGGATCAAGAGGGCCCATCTAGTCCAGTTTCCTGTATCTCACAGTGACCCCACCAGATGCCTCTGGGGGCACACGTGGCAACTAGATACAGTACCTTATAGACTACCCTTTATTTGGGAGAGGGCAGACCAACTACAATAATCAATGTACTAAATGTAAACAGCCCATTGTGACAAGAGAAATGAACTCTCTGACTTGCTGTACTGCTACGTCTGAAAGTTACTAGAGTCTACTCTGAAGACGGTTTAGTGAGCAGAAATAGGAATTGATTCCATGACTTTGTCTAGATTTTTGATAAACTAAGTTATGTTCTAGTGACACAACAATGTCATACATAATTTAACTTGCAGCTCCAGCGGGACAACTGGATATTTGGGGAGATATTAGTCCAGGTTTCAAGGAACGTAATGTAACTGTGTTTTGGAAGGTAACCTTTTTGTAATATTTTGAATTTATTTGAAAACATATTCTGATGTATGGCAGTGGGTGGGTGTTTGATCCTTTTGTGTCTCTTTAATCTCATTTAATCTCAATTTTAAATAGATTAAATAGATTTGTTTCACTTTTACATATTTTTTTCTCATGTGCATTATTGTTAAGACCATTTGGTAGACCTGAAATATCTACCATGTCCACAGTGGAGAAAAGTTACTTTTTTTCTTACAGTTCCTGGGATTCCCTAATAGACATGGACATTTTGTATTCGTATCCTGGGGATACAGATACAAACTGTGACACGGCTCCGCAGCGGCCTAATTCCCTTTCCCTGAACCAAACAGGTCCACTCACTAGGCTCCATGTGGTGTGGTGCTCCTCCATCGTCATGCCAATTGTGGAAGGAGACAAACCAGCACTTCCCTACACTCCCCCATGGCTGATCACTGATCAGCTGAGCAGGGAGACTCCCCATCCCACCTACCTGCTGTTGTGTTCAGCTGCACAGGAAGGTGGGGAAGCATCAGCTGTGCTCCTTCCACAATTAGCGCTATGATGATGATTATGGAGGAGTGCCATGCTGTGCAGAACCCGGTTAGTGGACCTGGCTGGTTCTGGGGGAGGGAATTGGGCCACTGTGGCACCTGTGCTGCTGCAGTTTGTATTAGATTTGCTTACACCTGGGAGGCAGGAAAGTTTTAAGGGTCAGATCATACTTCCGCACTCTTAAAGAGCAGGGCGGGTAGGTGAGGCTCGTCAGGCATGGAAGGCAGCCCATGTAGGAGAAGGAAAACTCCGATTTAAAATTTTCACTGCCTTGTGGCTAAATCCACTGATGGAAAAGACTTCAGGAGTTAACCTAGAGGCAAAATCCAGAGCTGGAGTCCCAAAGGCAGTTCATGTTATTCTGCCAACTCCTGCAACGTTGCTGGAACCAGTTGTATTGGCTCTTGCCTTTCCATTGGACCATTTCAGCAATGTGGAGAGGGGGGATCTGCTGCTCGGGTAACAGCCTATCCTCCATATTACTTTACCCAGGCTTCATGCTCTGGAGAGGACACTCCTCGATTCAGAGCATGTTACCATAGTCTCTCGAGACTGAAGGATGCCTATGCTACCCCAGGATACAAATGCGAAGTACCTGTGTCTATTCCCTAACCATTATGGTCTCTGCAAATTGTTCCAAGCTCTTCCTGTATCAGTCTTCTTGCACTGTTGTATCAAATGTGTTTTATGTCCCTCCCTTTCATGTAATAACTGGTACGGTTTACAGCCAAACCCCTGTCACAAAAAAATAAAATAAAATAAAATCCAGGCCTTCAGTCAAATCCAGCCTGATGTTTCTGTACCTCAAATCTTGAAAAAATAGAAAATACAGAAGCCAGTACAAGCTCAGAACATATAAATGGTCCCAAGTACCGGCTTGTGGAAGAGGATACCACAAGAAGTGTTTCTAAACTTTGTTCTGAAAGTGTAATTATTAGGGTTTCTTTTCTTATTCAAGTTTCAACAGGGGCTTTCACATCATCGTTCAGGTTCTGATTAGTTTTGGCTTTTCTGTTTTCTTAGTTTCTTGCACTAGACTTTCTGAGAAAGGCACTTCCTACATCTCCAATGCTCTGTGCTTGGAGAGTCATTGAAAATGAGCTCCTCCCAGAAACCTGCACCATGTTTTATTTGTTCCCTTTCACAGACAAACACAGGCCTACCTTTCATCATCCTGAGCTAAGGCAAAAGATCTGCCTCCTACCCTCGGAATATTTTCTTGCTTTCAGAGGGCCGCCACTGACAAAGACATTAGGATTCTCTTGCCGATCTCTAAGTTTGTCCTGAGCCACTTATGCCTCCCATCTGCCTTGGGTGCAATGGAAAATGGCAGGCTGCCACCAATCTTAGAAGTAGAATTACCGTAGTTCACCGTGTATAAGAGGACACTTTCCCCTAAAATAATTAGAGGAAAAATTGAGGGTCATCTTATAAACGGAAGGAAGCAGTTGCGCACGTGCGTGCTCGGGCACCTCTTGCTGCCACCGCCGTCACCCAATTGCCTCTTTCAGAGCTCACGGCTTGTCCCCTCCGTGGCCAGGGCAGCAGCAGGAGGAGGCAGAGACGGAGGCGAAGGAGCATTCACACATGCTCCGGTGCCTCTTGATGCCTGCCTCCGCCCGCCCGCCCAATCACCACCTCCAGCAAGACTGAGGGGCTCATCTCAGTCTTTGCCTTGTCCCCTCTGTCCCCTCCAGGGGCGGAGACAGCAGGAGGCATAGGCGAAGGAGCATTCACATGCACTCTGGCGCCTCTGGCTGCTGCCTCCCCCCACCTGCCCGATCACCGCTGCCTTGTCGCCTCCCGTAGTGGAGGCAGCAGGAGGCGCACGCTGGGGAACCTCTTCCTGCCTTGTTAGCAACGGAAAGGGAGCAATGGCTGCCCTTCCTTTTTTTGCTAAAGCCCCAAACCCCTTGCCTTTTGAGAAGGCATGGATGTTAGCAAAAAGGGAGCCCTTTGATCCCTTCTTTATTTTACTTTGGGGTTAGAAAAAGGGGGGTTTGTCTTATACTTGTAAACGTAAAAATACGGTACTTTCTCTTTGCCTTCTTTCTAATTGCTCTTTCAAAGATTCAGGTATGCTGTGTTCATTTTCTCTAGCATTGGAAGTCTCATGCATTCTAAGTGCACCATTAAATACCCCATTACATGAGAGGATGTTACTCTTGCAGTTTGTGCCACATGCACCCGACAGTTGCCATCTTCATCTGTTGCAAGATGGGAAATAAAAATAAAAGCAGGCAGCCTTCTTTAAAGATGACACATAAGAGCAACTTGGTACTGTTAAAAGCACATGGGCTTTATTTATTGGTTTTTGTTTTCCTTCTTGTAGGCATCTCCGGGCTTTCAAGCTAATGGAAACATCAAAACATATGAGATATGCTGGGAAAATGTAGAGCAGTCTGGTGGCTGCCATTCAACAAAGTCAAACAACTACACTATTTCCCTCAACAGCCAATCTTACAAAATCACGGTCTGGGCAAAGAACTCTGCAAGCGCATCCCCTCCTTCTGTGCTCCACCTCTCGGCAGCTGAAGACAATGGTTTGTTTCTTTTGATATCTTGTGCCAAGGAATAGATGTACTGTACCATGAACCCCACTGCCAGGGTGTCACAATTGCTGGTTTGAAAAAGCATTGGAATTCCTGTGCATCCAGACCTCTTTGTTCATTAGTTTTAATTTGCTGCAACTTTCATGATGACTGTATTGCTTGTGGGAAAAGCAAAAGGAACACATGATTGACAGAATGTTGGGGATTTCACCTCGGCTGCATTGAAACTCAGAAGTTCATGGTGAACCATCCACTGCTCAGTGGTAGTTTTGCTTCGGTGCTGGGTCTTTTCTTCCTTTCCCATATACAACAATGAAATATAAAAGAATTAGTGAGTATTTAATTTAGATTAGAGATGTGTGCTTTGTATTCTTACCCAGGGGATATGAATATGAAGTGCAGCAGCACAGCTGCCACCGTGGTCGAGTCCCACCCCCCACCCCCAGCCTAGTCCACTTACTGGGCTTCCCTGTCTGTGCATGTCTGGTGGCAGCAACATCGCACCAATCGCGGATATACTCCTGCTGGTGCCTTCCCACCTAGCCCCTCAAGCCAACTGCACAGCAGCTGAGTGAGGAGACTCGTCTTCCCACCTCCTTGCTGGAGTAGACTGGGCTGGTTCTGGGAGCGGAGTGAGACTGGACTGCAATGGCAGCTGTGTTGCTGTGCTTTGTATTTGTGTCCCCTGGATATGACTAGAAAGTGCACATATCTAATTTAGATATTTCATACAACTGAAATGTTTGCATTTGTATTTTTTCCTTCTGTTGCATATTGCATATTGCATTAATAATAATAATAATAATAATAATAATAATAATAATAATAATAATAATAATAATAATAATC